TTGTCCAGGCATTGCCGAGCCATTGTGAATGTATTGCGGGGCACGGCCGTGGTCCCCTTCCCTTCCCCTTCCCTTCCCCTTCCCTTCCCCTTCCACCTGCCGACCGCAAGGCAAAATCGGAGAGAAGGCCTTATGCAATGCCAAGCGACGGGGACTAATGTCACAGGTTTGGCATCGCTGGCTGAGGCTGAGCTCCGGTGGCGGGCCATCCGAAGCGGTAGCCCGAGGGAGCGGCGAGGGAAGACCAACAAAACAGCCCTCATGCGGTAATGAGCCTCCGAGTCGAAAGGCAAGTGATCCGGACGCCACCTTCGCTACGGATGCTGGGAGCCAGGGGGACGAGCGGCCGCAGGAGGAGGGCGGGAAGGACACGAGGGGAGGGGGAGGGAGGAAGAGAGTGAGGGGGGAGGAGGTGTGAGAGAGGCTCGGGGGAGGGGGGCGGAATTAGAGGAGAGAGAGAACCGCAAGGAAACTATGAGGGGAGGGTGGGAATGTGCGAAAAGAGAGAAGAAAGAAAGAAAGAATGGGAAAATGTAGAAATAGGAAAGAGCAGGAGGGAGCGGCCAGGGGCGCGGGACAACCCAGGCTCTTGAGCAACACCCGGACATGTCTGAGCTTGGAATGGGAGCTCCGGCGGCCAAAGGGACTTCCCCGCGGAGTCCTCGGTAAGTGAAGGACGCGGCGTACTGTGACGCACCGCATGCAGGCACGAAGCCTTACGATGCCTTTCTAAGAACGCATCAGACGTCGACATCGCGTATCTGCCTGCCTGCCTGTGAAGCTCATACCGGGACGCGGAAATGTCCGTGGTCATCCCGCGGCTCGTGACCGGCTCGCGCGCGTACGAAGAATGACATCCTGTGCGAGCGCTGCCGAGGTGTTGCGATGCAATGCAGCTCCCTGGCAGACGCCGTGCCGACCCTGCCTCACAAGGCACAGCAGTTTTCACGCCCCATCGGAGTCGGGGGCAAGCACTTCGACCTCTGTGCTACGCCGTGCAAAAGCGCCCTTCTGCCGGCACAGATGTCTGGCGACCACACGTGTGCGTGACAGACCTACACGTCGAACGGCACGTGGGAATCCATCGGCCAGGGTGACGCGGCGGGGCAAAGGTGCAAAAGGGTGCGATAGAACGAGGGTGAAATACAACACTGCTTGAATAAAGTACAAACTCGCGTGAAGGTTCTGTGTACGTACTGTGTTCTGTGTTCTGTGTTCTGTGTGTGTGTGTGTGTGTGTGTGTGTGTGTGTGTGTGTGTGCGCGCTTATTTGCGAGCCAACTTTGAGGGGGATGTTTATGGCACGTTTCCACACATGTCCTTAGGGTACATTACAGGTAAGAGCGCGTCTGACTCGCCCATGGCCAGAGAAACAGAGAGATGGGACGAGACAAGAAGCAAAATAGATACAATACCGGCGAAGCGAACACAACCAAACATCCACATCAAAATAATACAGCTGTATTAGAGAGAATGAGCATAGCTGTACATAGCGGTCTCCTCAAAGTGTGGCCGAGAATGCGAGAAGTGTACATGTACGTGTCGAGAGGCTGACGGCCAGCAACAAGCAGGCCGGCGACCACAAGCACGCCATCAGCGCCGTTCGCCCGGGGGGTTGCAATGGGGGGTTGCAATGGGGGTGCGGTGAGGGGCAGGGGTAGGGGGTCGTGGCAGGGGTAGAGGTTGGGGGGGGGGCACACAAGCATTTTCAACAATTTCCTTCGCAGAACGCCGGGTCACACGATGGAGTCGCAACGCGCGAACCAACTACAGAAAAATAAAACACGCCATAAAGGAAGAAACGAAAGCATGACCGTAAGACGCGAAGAATAGCGAACCAAGGTTGAGATTAGTGATAAGGGACGAAGAAGGGCGGAGAGGGAAGGACGAAGACAAAGCAGGGAGAGACAGTGGCGAACTTATGAATAACAATCCAAGCATGCTAATCTCCTCGGCCTCTAAACGAACAAAACAACCATAAATGCCATCCTCACCTAGCCAAGACACACACACACACACACACACACACACACACACACACACACACACACACACACACACACACACACACACACACACGCCGGGAGAGGGGATGCCCACACGCAACAGCCCACGCCAGGAGCGGTTCTGAACGGCGTGAGGGCGCGCAAACACTCCCCACGAGCGGCAACGAGCTTCGACTTCGTAACTCAAGACGGGTCGGGTCTGGCCTCGCCCCGTCCCTCGGCCGCCTCCTGGAATCTCCGTTGCCTCCTAAGTGTGTCCTCACTGCCCTCTCAATGCCTCGTCATTACCTCCTCATTGCCCCTTAACTGTCTCCTCATTTCCCCGTCATTGTCTCCTCACGGCCCCCTCGACGCCCAGTGCCTGTCTCCTCATGGCCGCCCCACTGCTCCGTCACTCCCTCCTCGCACAACGCCCGATGGCCGATCCTCCTACAAATAAATACGCCGTTGGCAGACACAGCCGCCTCCGCCACAGTCAGCGCCACGCACCCCGCCTCCTCGCCTCCTCGCCTCCGCCCAGAAGCAATAGATCGCCTCTCTCCCTCTCCTTCTCCCTCTCCCTCTCCCTCTCCCTCTCCCTCCCTCCCTCCCTCCACCCCTAGCGCGAAGCCAAGTGCACGGCCACAGACACGGCCAAGTCCTCGTCCTCACTCACCTGGGCGCGTGTGCTTGCGTGCGTGTGGGAGAAAGGTAAAAAAGGCGAAAAAGGCGAAAAAAAAAAACAAAGACGAAGATAATAGAGAAAATAAAAGACAAAAAAATCAACGCCTGCTCCCCGCCCCCCAACCACATCTCCCGAATAAAACCGGCCTCATCAGGAAGCAAAAGACACGCTAACGAGCCATTGTATCTGCCCAAGGTCGCCGTCGCCTCCGATCACGATGACGCCGGAATAGCGATCCAGGAGGGGATGTGGCCGTCGCCGAGTAGCCGCGAGACGCAAGCCGAGTTCCCACGGCTTCCGATTGGAGGAAACAGGCGACAAGAGAGAAGGGGAAGAGGGCAAAAGGGAGGGATAAAGGGGAGCGAGAAAAGGGAGTGAGAAAAGGGAGGAGGAGAGAAAAGGCAGGGATAGAGCGACGGAGAAAAAAAAACAACAACAACAGCCAGATAAATAGCCTCGAAGCCAAACACAAATGCATGCACAGCCAGCACAAAAAAGGGACATATATATAAAAGAACAAACATTCTCGCGGGATGAGGCGTCCGCGGCGAGGAACTGAACCTTATCAAAATATCTGTCCAGTGAGTCACCCTCCCACCCCTCCCCCTTCCCCTCCTCCCCCTCTTCCCCCTTTAAGAAGAGAGAAATAAGTTAAATAGTAAATAATACTATCTGACGTCCTTCTAAAGCTAGGGAGAGAGAGAACCCCCCACATAGTCTACCTCCCCCCCCCCCCTTGCTTCTACTCCCCCAGTCACAAGCACAAACATACAAGCCGCAAGCGACCCAGTGACTGGCCGGCCTGAGGGTACATTTATCTCCCCCCCCCCCTTCCTACTCTTCCCCCGCCCTTCCCCTCCCTTTGGCCTCCAGGTTACACGTGATATAAAGGAAAAGAAATTACCAATACAAAGAAGAGACAAAGAAAAAAAAAAACTGCTTGTGATTCACCCAGGAGGAAAGCGGACCTGTCACAAGCAGGCAGGCAAGCAGGCGACTGATAAACGTCTGACGCCCCCGCCCGCACTGCGCCCCGCTTGGCCCCACACCCACACCTGGTAGACCTACACCCACACGCCCTAATTAGTCCCATCCATACACCTGTACCCACACCCGCCCTTCACAAGCCGAGGGCCCCAGCGTTAGGTTTAAGGCCAGCAGGTATAACAGATGCAAAGGGATATTCCAATTTTAAAAGCGTGGGAAAATCTGGCCGAGCGTGGGAAAACTGAACAGGTCCACGTGGGAAAAACCGTGCTAGCGTGGGAGGGCATGAAAGAACACAAGGTAAGGGGGAAACGGAGTGAGGAAGGGAGAGAGGCAGGGAGAGTGATAAAAGAAAATAAGGAAAGAACAAAAAAAAAACATTGGGCACTGACCTGTCTTCCCCCGTATCCAGCGCCTCCATCTCCGCTGTGACCTCGGCCATCTCATCTTTGAGAGTCTGGAAGGAAATAAAATCAAATCATTAGCTTCTTCAAAAACAAAACGAAACAGCGACACAAAAAACAGCAAGACATTAAACATACACAACAGTACATTTATCTCTCCCCCCCCCCTTCCTACTCTTCCCCCGCCCTTCCCCTCCCTTTGGCCTCCAGGTTACACGTGATATAAAGGAAAAGAAATTACCAATACAAAGAAGAGAGACAAAGAAAAAAAAAACTGCTTGTGATTCACCCAGGAGGAAAGCGGACCTGTCACAAGCAGGCAGGCAAGCAGGCGACTGATAAACGTCTGACGCCCCCACCCGCACTGCGCCCCACTTGGCCCCACACCCACACCTGGTAGACCTACACCCACACGCCCTAATTAGTCCCATCCATACACCTGTACCCACACCCGCCCTTCACAAGCCGAGGGCCCCAGCGTTAGGTTTAAGGCCAGCAGGTATAACAGATGCAAAGGGATATTCCAATTTTAAAAGCGTGGGAAAATCTGGCCGAGCGTGGGAAAACTGAACAGGTCCACGTGGGAAAAACCGTGCTAGCGTGGGAGGGCATGAAAGAACACAAGGTAAGGGGGAAACGGAGTGAGGAAGGGAGAGAGGCAGGGAGAGTGATAAAAGAAAATAAGGAAAGAACAAAAAAAAAACATTGGGCACTGACCTGTCTTCCCCCGTATCCAGCGCCTCCATCTCCGCTGTGACCTCGGCCATCTCATCTTTGAGAGTCTGGAAGGAAATAAAATCAAATCATTAGCTTCTTCAAAAACAAAACGAAACAGCGACACAAAAAACAGCAAGACATCAAACATACACAACAGAAATTCCACCCACACAAAACACGCTCTCAAACGCCAACATTCCAAGCAGAAACCTCCATTCAGGATTCCCATTCCAGATCCCCCTCCGACCCCCTCCCGCGCGCCCGGCCCGTTACGCCGCGGGACCGAGAGAGAGGAAGAGAGGGAGGAATCCGGCCTGCTTGCTCGCGGCTCGACCCACTCTCGCCACATCATCACACCATCATCTTCATCATCATCATCATCATCCCCATCATCACTTGCAACTGCCGGTAATTCCTTCCCGCCAAATACGGCCATTAAATCCGCGGCGACGATCGCTCGGAGCGCCCATCACGCCCATCGCGCCGCATTTCGCCCGCCCGCCCCGGATGTGCCATTCCCGCCGCGAACCCCGCCCACGCCCGCCAATTCGCACCTGGGAGGCTGGCGGACATTTTTCTTAGGTCAACGTTAATTTCCAACTTTCCTCTTTTCTTTTCGTCGAAACGTTTATAGAATATTGGGGGAGGAATTGGGAGCGCGAAGGGGAAATAGAGAAACTGAAAACCAAAACAGAAGTGGAAGCAGAAAAAGCTGAAGAGCAAGAAAGAGGGCGCAAAAGAAGAAGAAAGCAAGCAACCCAAAAAGTGTGACCTCATGTTACGTGAGGGAATCGCCGCCCTTCTAAAAACACGCGCGCCGGGCCACGCGAGCTCGGAATGCAAAGGCTCAGTCGCTGCGCTTTTATCGCCGCTTTTCTCTTCCTCTCGCCTCTCTTCTCCGCCGCTTCGTCATCACAAGAGCTCATCACCGCTCACCACGCAAGCTCCCGCCCCCCCTTACACAAACACACACACACACCTCCATCGCCACATCCGGGTACGCAAAACACCATGACACCATCACCTCCCCCCCCTCTCACCATCATCACCATCCCCAGGCATCATCACACTCGTCCCGCCGGCTCACCACAGCCGCCACTCACCACGTAAAACACCGAGCGACCCTTCTTCCCAGGTGAAGTCCACATCACAGGTAAGTCCGCACTAAAATACAGACGCGTACTATGCCCAGCCACGTCTCTCGGTCTCTCGGTCTCTCCCCTTATCGGTCTTATCTCCGAGATAAGATAAGCACATACACCTTCACACTCAGCCGTCGTCAACAACAAATATCTGCGACAAAAAAACAAACAAACAAACAAACAAAAAAAACTAGAGTACTTTCACTCACAACCCCCCTCTCCTACCCCCCCCTACTTCTACCCCCCGAAATACCCTCTAATGCCCTCCCCCTCCCCCTCACCCCCACCCCCTTCCCTCCCTCTAAAAAAATAAAAATCCCACCAATGATGGCATCGATTTCGCTCTAATCTTTCAATACGTCCGATTCCCCCCTCCCCCCCCCCTTCCCCCTCCTTATCGCAATATCCGATCCGGACTTTATCGTCATCGATATACAAATACCAAATTACCCCCTTCCTCGTTTTCATCCCTCTCCCCCTTCCCCCTCCTCCCTCCCTCAATCCCCCCACCCCCCGATTGTGAAATGACAACACTCGGGGCGGGGGGGGGGGGAGGTGTCAGCGTCTCGGAGAAAGAATCAAGGACACTGCGCGATACCATGCAGGTGAAAGAGAGAGAGAGAGAGAGAGAGAGAGAGAGAGAGAGAGAGAGAGAGAGAGAGAGAGAGAGAGAGAGAGAGAGAGAGAGGTAGTGAGAGAAGGAACGGGAGAGAGAAGAGAGAGAGAGAGAGAGAGAGAGAGAGAGAGAGAGAGAGAGAGAGAGAGAGAGAGAGAGAGAGAGAGAGAGAGAGAGAGAGAGAGAGGGAGGGAGAGAAAAGAAACAGAAGGGGGAGAGAGAGAGAGAGAGAGAGACAGAGACACAGAGAGAAAGAGAGAGAGAGAGAAAGAGAGAGAGAGAGAGAGAGAGAGAGAGAGAGAGAGAGAGAGAGAGAGAAGTAATTGGGGATAACCACGAAGAGATGGAGTTATAAGTGAACCTCAAAAAAAAAGTTTACCCCACAAGTAGGGCAGCAAGTAAAACAACAAAGCGAACTTGGCAGAATGAAAGAATCAGGAAAAATACCCCCGCTCCCAGCCGGCACTCCGGCACTCAGCATAACAAACCTGACGCAACCCAGTGTTGTCAGAGCCAAAGCCACTCTCGCACGACCTTCGCAAAAAAGAAGAAAAGGCAATGAAGGAGAATAAGAAGAGTAGAAGAAGACCAATGAAGCAACTTTTTTTTAAAACCAAAACAAACCTCTACCAAAGCGCACGTAGCTTGGCCTAGTAATGTAAGGGCACTACAACATTCCCTTTCCCCCCTCCCCTCCCCCTCCCCCTCCCTCACCCCCTTCCTTATCTTATCAGTATCTGTATGACGCCCCGCTGACGCCATGCCCGAGTGACGTCGACGCTCGCTCTCCCAACGCGCCGGATGTTTGGCTGACCACCGGAAGTTGGCACAGAGCCTGGGACGACGCGGGGCACTCACTGCCACCGCCTCCGTCGGTGCCACGGGCTCTCGCATGGTGCCAACTCCGCGACACAAACAAAGGCAGTGGGTGGGAGGGAGGAAAGGAGGGAGGCAGGGAGGTGGGGAGAGAGAGAGAGAGAGAGAGAGAGAGAGAGAGAGAGAGAGAGAGAGAGAGAGAGAGAGAGAGAGAGAGAGAGAGAGAGAGAGAGGAGAGAGAGAGGAGAGAGAGAGGAGAGAGAGAGGAGAGAGAGAGGAGAGAGAGAGGAGAGAGAGAGGAGAGAGAGAGGAGAGAGAGAGGAGAGAGAGAGGAGAGAGAGAGGAGAGAGAGAGGAGAGAGAGAGGAGAGAGAGAGGAGAGAGGAGAGAGAGGAGAGAGAAAGAAAGAAAAGAGAGACGAAATTAATGAGGAGGAGGATGATGAGGGAGGAGGAGGAGGAGGAGGCAGAAAGAGGCAGAGATTCTCGAGCACAAGGGCCGAGTGGAGAGTCCGAGATCGCCTCCTGAGAGGGCGCCGCTTCATAAACAACGATGACGTCATCACAATAGGAAGTTTACCAGGTGTTGCTGTGAAGACCGAAGGGAAGGGAAGGGGAGGGGCAGGGGCATGGGGTAGATGGTACAGACAGGGGTACGGGGGGCGAGCCAAGGTGTATGTGTTCCTGATACACACACACACGGCCCAGTCCAAACAGAACGTTATAAACAACCATTTTTGTCATCGTTGTGTAATCAAGACACATGTTCAAACACACACACACACACACACACACACACACACACACACACACACACACACACACACACACACACACACACACACACACACACACACACACACACACAATGACTAAAATTTTGAAGGGGAAACATACTTAAATAAAGTCCTAAAGCTGGAAAGGTGAGATGACGGGAGGGTAAAGTGAGAAGGATAAAAGGGAAGACAAGGCGCGAGAAAGTGGGGAAGAAAGGGGAGGCAAAGAGGAGAGGAAGAAAGGGGAGGCAAAGAGGAGAGGAAGAAAGGGGAGGCAGGGAGGAAGGAGAAACACCAAAAGACTCGCGAAGAAGCCGTTTTCGCGAGGAAAGGCGGCGGTTTTATGGCAGCCTCGTTGGGTCTACGAACAAGCTAAGTACCGAGGTCATAATTGCTCGATTTTTCTCTCTTTCCCTTTTTGTGGCATTTAAAGGGCGGTTGGGGGTCGGCGGGGGGGGGGAGGTAATCTTGTGTCCTGTCGGTGTTGCAATGGGGTGACCGTTGCAGGAAGGTCATTTGGATGATGAAAAGGTCAGTGAAGTTAGCAGGAAGAAACCAGGAAGGGAGGAGGAGAAGGTGGTAGAGGATGGAGGAAGAGGTCGAAAAAATGTAGAGGAAACAGAAGAAAAACATGAATAATCAAAGTGAACTAAAGCAAAATTTTTGAAGACCTAAAGACCCATCATACCCTATACACACACCTCCCTCTATCGATCGAACTCCCAACCAATCTATCTGCAAGGTTCCATCGCAATCCCCCACTCGGTATGCGCCCGAGCGGGGCAGGCACTTAAAGGTCGGGCGCGGCAGGAACCGTCATGCACGCGGCTCCAACGTGACTCGAAAGTTACGAAAAGCAAAATAGCGGCGGCTCCGCTGTGTGACTTGCGGTCGCGGGGTGTTGCGGGCAGGCGGGGGGAGGGGGGAGGACGGGGCAGGGAGGAGAGGGGGCGAGGATACTCCCGTGGGCGGAGGAGCGGAGGGAGGGGTAGGGGTGGGGGCGCGAAAGCACGGGTGGGGTGTAATAGGCGTCATGGAGGAATGTGAAAGAGAGGGAGGGCGTCGAATGCCTATGTGAGGGGGGGGGCAGGGGGGGCGGCCTCCCTCTTTCTACTCTGACATTCTGACGCGCTTCGGCCGCCTCCCTGCCATCTGGGAGACGCCGTGCCAGAACGCGAGAAGGGAAGCGAGGAAGGCGAACGGATAAACAAACAGAACAAACCGAAACTCCGCTAAAAGATCAAGACCCGAGCAAGAAATTTCGCATCGGAAAATCATATGCTATAAAACCCCTAATTCACCGGAATTAAAGCCTTCGCGCGGAGAGAGGGAATAACGCCGGAATAGAATCACGCTCCACTTAAGTGCACTCGTACCTCCGCGTTCTCCTCCCCCTCCCAACCCCCCTCTGCCCTCTATCATCTACCTCCTCCCTTACACCCCCTCCCTTATCCTCCCTACCCCGAACCCCATGCCCCATGCCCCATGCCCCTTCCCTCCACCCCCTCCCCCACCCAACCACCTGTCCCTCCCCGTGCCCGAAGGCCGCTCGCGAAGACCGGCGAAACCTCACGTCCTGCGCCTCGAGACCGCCTCCTCCTCGGCAACTCTTCGCTTACGTAAACACAAACAAATGCTTAGGCGCGGCTGAGGTTCCGCCTCGTCTTCTCCGAATCCTTAGGCGAATTATGAAAGAATAGGGGGTGGGGGGAGAGTG